CATTATATTTATTTAAACCCATCACCAATTATTACTTTAAATAATTTTTTCTTAATTATAATAACATTAATTTTAAGCTAAAACGATCAGAATAATGTTTTCGTCGTCTTGAATGACATTTGCGAAATAACTTATGAGAGCAATAAAAAAGAGCCTAGTCTATTGCTGCTGAATAAAAATCTGTAATTTATTTCATGTGACATAAAAATAAATTTGTATTTTTTAAACCCGCGACTTCGCGTTTGCTTCACGTTAAATATTTATGTCTTTTGAGTTTTGAATCAGCTGTTCTAAAAATGTTCGGCGCATGTCTTAAATTTTAGGTTTTTGCTACAGCAGCGCCATCCTAATTCTTCCCTTTTTTTGACCATATTTTAATGCACGGAGTTGTTTCTCCTTACCTCTACACTCCATATTTTCAATATATCTATGCGTTCTAGTTGTACCAACTTATTTCTTTGTAAAATAAAATAAACTACTTTGAAATTAAAATGACAGACACATCTATCACTGTCAAGGATCTTCTCGTTGGACAGACTATAGGTTAAATTAAAGTCCCTAGATATATAAAGTACCGCAATTACCGCCATTTTGGCGCCAAAACTAGCGGCAAATTTAAAAAGGAGGCCAACATTTCGCTGTTTCGGCTTTTTAAGCAGCTGGTCGGTCCGGCGCCAATATGGCCGACCAACATTGACAGGCAAGCCGTAAATTAAAATATTTATTAATTGTAATAGAATTACGTTTATTATCTACAATTTACCCTCATTTTAACATAATATCAGGTTGTATATTAATATTCAATTTCATAAATTTAATTTTTTAGGCCTATATGGTGTTAAGAGGTTATAAACAAATGGTTTCCGTACAAGTGTTTTTCAGTTGTATTAGCATTTATTTTATGTTACCTTTTAGCGCAAAGTACGCTAACAGAAGTAAGTTAATAGGTAAGAAGAAATAAAGTTAGAATAACATTTAATTTTAATTACTTAATTCAGTCGAAACAATTGGAAAAACTTTGTTTGTTGATGAGAACGGGCTACCTATACCATAAGTAAACCTTCCCTATTATACCAGTTATGTTGTAGTTAGTTTTGACAAATAAGCATGATTTAACGAAAGTCTTTGGAACTATGAATCTAGGAATAAGCTACAAACTTAAATTTGAAGGCCGGCTTTTATACGAGAATATTTTGAACCATGGTTGAAACAAATAAATGACTAATTAAATTGATATGATACATACCTGCTATTTTGAAATATATTAATATATTGATAGAAAGATTGTTTCAGTTAGTATGACTTCAGGTAGTTTCAGCATTTTAGGTATGTAATTGTGCACTTAATTCAAGAATAACTTAGAAAGAAGCTTGGAACGCATAGGGGCTCTTTATGTGTGCTGTATAATTAAGGTTTGTATGTTATGGAGTGATTTTATATAAATTTATTATTAGTTGAATAAAGGCAAGTTAATACCACATAATTCAATTAAAATACTGCTCTGCTATTTAATGTTATATTTTTAAACGACAAGTGTCATAGTCATAATGTTTAAGTATCATTATTATAAAAAGTTATACTGCTATAAAATTTAGCATTGAAATAACTGTAGTTATTGTTATACATAAATTAAGTAGGCATAATTTTACCTCGACAATATGTAAAACTTCAAGCCAATCTTAACAATTTTATGCCATGTATAAAAATCAAATTTAAAATCACACACTTTTATTTATAACATTTTTTTTTTTTTTTTTATTTTAAATATAACTTTACATGCTTACATTATATTCTTTACTTTTTATTAGTAAGTACAATATGAACAAAAAATATTAATTACTATCAATAAATACTATAAAACTTCATCTATTTAAGTCCATGAAAATAACTATAGTTAGCATATTCATAAACAACATTCTTGTTATTAGGATCAAATTTGACTTTTTCATTATTTTGGTTAAATATCCCTGTTAGTACTGACTGGTAAAACCACCTGAAGCGATGTCATCCAAATATATATATATATGTATCATAACATAACTTATTCTATTAAGTAATTATCCTGCCTTTGGTCTGATGATAATATATTGTAGATTTATCTAAACTTATTACTGCAAAATGTTGAAAACTAAACTACACTAAACTTTTTAGGGAATGATTACGTAAAGATTTCACTTACACTACATTTAGCATCCTTTTTAAAAAGATATGTATGGTAGTTTGCAAGTAAGGTCTTTGTCTTGTTCTATATTAGATTTCTAGAGGTGGATCTGGGCCTGACCCACTGCGACCTTCCCAGATCTATTGTGATCTTGTCTTGTTCTACAATGAAATTTTATGTACCAATAGGTTATACTACAAATAAGATTGTTAAAATATTCACTAGACATAAAATAAATTCAATCCACTACCTAACCTGTATTGAATATCGACGATGTTAGAAAACACATCAAATGGCGGCCTTTTCTTGTAATACATATTTCTTCACTAAAGATATCGACGCCTATACATTATTAACTAATAAATTTGTAGCATTTTAGTGGTTTTATAATTATTTTTTAAAATATGTGGATAAATATTTTTATTCTGAAATTGACAGCTTCTCAACATTTGACATGACAAATTCAGACAAATGTGACATTTAAACAGTCCTACCACTACAGTTTTCCCAGAAATACCCCAAAAATCCGCCATTTTGGCGCCAATAACATTGAACAAACCAATTGCGGTACTTTATATATCTAGGGACTATGGAGGGCTTAAAAAAGGAGATTTATCGGCAATGGGCAAATTTGAAATTTCTGTCCCCACTTTTAAGCAGCTTCCTCGGTTTGACAGCAGAGGCACTGCGATCGACTGGGATACTACATTTTCATTGTTAGTATACGATTTAATTGTGTTTTTAATAAAATTTATAGTTGTTACTGATTTTTTAGCAGTACAACAATGAGTCGTGGTAGAAATTGCTTTGTACCTGGCTGTACAAGTGGGAATCCCAATAAAAACAAGGCAAATAAAGAACAGAGTGAAAGAAACCCAAGCCTTTTCAAAGCTCCTAATGTAAGTAGTATGACTATTTATTTATAAAAATTATGGATAGATGTTAGAGAAAAACATTAAAATTATATACTGTCATTGTACAGATTAAATTATAACCAAATTAATAGAATATAGCCTAAAAATCAACATGTATAACATAACCTAGGAGGCCGCGTTATAAAATTAAATAATTTAATACCCCACTAGATTAAAATTACCTGTTGACAAGTACCTATATTAACCACAGTTTGAACAGTGCTATTGAAAGTGAATATTAAATATTTATACTTCAAGATCGTATTCTCAAAATAACAGCTTTAATAGTGAAAATGTTTTTTTTATTTTATTTAACAATTATATATCTTTTATTAGGATACTAGCTTGCTACAGCAGTGGCAAAAGGCGATACCTAGATCAGACAAGACACTTAGCAGCAAAGATGCTGTTTGTGAACTACTTTTTCTAGATGAAGATATTTTGACTCATTATGAGATCAAATTAACTGACGGAACTATCAGTAGAATTGAGCGGGGTAGACCATTATTAAAGGAGGTTTCAATTCCAAGAATTTTTCCTAACCTGACTTCATATTTCTCTAGTAATAAAAGAAAGAGGAAGCCACCATGTGTAAGGAGTGAAGCAACTGAAAAAGTTTCTAATTCAAAAAAGTAAAAGGTCTGCCTATTAATCATGTTGAAAATCAAACTTCAGAACCTAACTTTGAGAATGAGAATGAAATTCTTCGTTATATTACTAATGTGCCAGTTGATGTTACAGACAGTAGAGTTACTATGTTCACAAATTTGAAAATAGTTTGCATATGTCAGATTGTAAATTTATTATAAAAATTATTTAGATTTTGACTAGCCGTCGCAAGACTCTTTTTCATTGAGGAATAATAAGAAATAATTTGAAAATATTTTTTTTTTTGATATAAAAAATGTTTAACATTTTGTATATAACCATTTAGAATAGTTTTTATGAATATGAGTAAGCTCTTTAAATTAATATGTAGGTATGTGTGTAGCTAGGTATTTTTTTAGGAGTAATTTTTTTTTAAATTGTAATTTTTTGTGTTCTTGATATAATATGATGTTCCTGTTTTATTTTTGGCATAGTACATATAGATATTTAATATCTAAGTTCTAAATTGTATATTAAATTTATATATTGTATATTTTATTTATTAAATTTAGTGGAATTAGTTAATAGAAACAAAAGTTGTAATGTATTAATATTGCTAAATAAATATTTATATGATGAAATAAGTCAGCGTATATACATATTCACAACTCTGTATTTTGTGCTTTTAAAATAAACTGAGTACATTATTTATTAATATTTTGTTACAAACCTACCTTATATTAATAAAGTGAATATCAATAGAAAAACCTTTACAATTATTAGGTGACATTGAATATAATATATCTTGAATTTAATTGTCTAAAACAGTGACAATTGCAAAACTTTGCTAATAACATTAAAACTTACAATTCAACGCTAGAAAAAACGCTATTGAACACAGGAAACGTTTCAGCTCAATATACCTACTCTCTAGTTTCAGCTATAAAAGTTATGGAATAGATAACACCGATCGAAGGGTGCAATGGTAACGTTCGTCTTCAGTTTCCATTTATGATTAAGTTATTCCTGATAAAATACTCTTAATTTTTCGTTATTCAATCTGTCAATCGCCATAAAACCACTACTAGTTCAGATTTTTAATGTTTATTAAATGGTATCACACTAAACTGCATTTAAACATGTCAATTTCAAATGTTTTTAATGAAAAACTATGAACCTTTAAACTGCATCAACAAAACTATTAATAAAACACTAACACAATCACACCATAAACTATTTCGTTCGCATTTCTCATCAAGAAACAATTACTGTTGAATTACTGTTTACATCAAATCAAAGGTTGAACTGGTGATAAATTTGTTGCTGGAACTTCTATCTTTTTGTACAACAGTTCTAGGGAAGATTTATTTTAGCAGCTTATGTTTTTCTTCGGTCGTGTATGCACTAAAAGAACCACATAATAAAACATTTTTATAATATCAACTTAGGAAAAGGATATATTAAACCGGCATCTAATATAACATAACTAACTTTTCAAACTCAAATTTAGGGTTTTGTATTCACAATTTTAGCCACGCACATTGCTCAATTAGAAAAACCACGTTTCTAAAAGCTAACTCTGGTAAAAATATGCCAAAATATTAACTTGGCTCTATAATTTATAACAAAATAGTTATTCTTGCCATAAGAAGCTGTGTATTTCTAGTATCCCAATCATCACAAGCGCCCCTAACGGCGATTTTCGAACTTCATTTAGATCTCAAAAACTGGGCCCATAATTTTTGCGTTCGATTCGCCTCCTCCTTTTAGACTCCATACTAGGGACTTTAGGTTAAATTGAAAGACAGCGCCCTCTAGTCTATACTGTCAAACGCATATTATTATATTAAAAAAAACGCTTTATTGTACAAAAAACCGAAACAGCTTCATCGACAAAGCATTCACAAAACAAAAAAGCACAAAAACAAATCTACAAATAATAAAAAAAAATGTCATACAATCAATTAAAAAAAATTTACGTCATAAAATTACAAATAAAACATATATGGACATTGCAGAACACAGGCGTATCTAGAAAATTTTACAAAAGGAAAACTGTAAATGAATAAAATCATGTTATATCGCATAAAATCAAAGTTATAAAATATTAAATATTAAATACTAGACCTTTAACCAGTGTGTGAGATGATCAAAATTTTAAAAATTCAAAATTGTCCATGATTAAACATCAACAAAAGTCGTTTACCGCATATAGGGCTCTCTCCAGTAAGTATCATTTCAGAGCTTTGAAAGCATTTCGCAATGCGGGAAAGAATGAGAGTGACTTGATATTCGAAGGCAAATGATTGTACATTTTCTTGGCATTGAACAGTATTGAGCCCTTAACTAGTTCTGAGCAGATAAGCCGGGGTTAGCTAAGCCGGGGTTGGCAGATAAATATCGTGCTCCGCATCCCTAAGTGGATAGTTGTGAGAAGGCCTTTCGGAATAGAGAATATGTGCTTGCCGGATTAAGCAAACGGATTCAAAAATGAATAAGAAGGAAGAGTCAGTATTTTGAATTTTTAAAAAGAAATTCTGGCAGTGAGTTCTACTGTTTAGTCCCAATAAGTATCCAACTGCTCTCTCTTTTTTGAAGTTTGAAAATACGATCCAATTTTGTCGCGCAGCAAGTACCCCAGAATGGAAGGGCATAACGAAGATGCGACTCAAATAGGGCATAATAGACCATTCTAGAGGCTGATGAGTTAAGTTCCTTAGAAACTGATCTTAGCGCAAAACAGGCAGCGCTTAGTTTCTTTGATAAAGCTTCGATGTGCAAGTCCCATTTTAATGAGTTGTCTACAACAAGTCCTAAGAATCTCACAGAGTCCACGACGTCAATAGTGGTGTTATTAAGTACAAAAGGTTGTATAGTACTTTTATATGACAAAACTTTAGTTTTTGAAAGGTTGAGGCATAGGAGATTATAATCGCTCCAAGTGAAACTAGTATCGTCCGTAAAGAGGCAAATTTTACCGCTAATGTCTAGATTTGCAATGTCGTCGATAAACACCAGAAACAAAATAGGGCCAAGTACTGTAACAAAACTCTTATAAAGGGTTAGGGGTTCGCTCAAGTCAAAGAAAACTCTTCGAAAAACACTCCGAAAATTCTTTATTCTTGGTATCTAAAAATACCCCGCCTTTACTTAGCAGAAAATTATATATATGGTACAATCTTACCTATCAAGCCTTTCTACTAACTTTAATAAAGTACAGTTTTACACTTTATGGCCACAGGATAATAAAATGAATACAATAAGAATAGTTGTTTCAGCGTACAGTAGCGAGAGTAAAATGAGAATCGAATTCAATTCAAATATGCAAGGCGCAAAAAAGATTTTTTTTTTAAATAAAAAACTGACTCTCCAGGTGGTAGAGCTACGACCAAATAAGATTCCCCACATTGTTATGGCTGCTACAACCGCCCCCTGTCTAAATAAAAGTAGCTTTACTCTTTTAGGCTAGACACATCCGAGTTATAAGGCTTCAAATGAGACACGTGGAACATACCTCTCTCTTCGTCGGTATTTTCCATAATTAAAATATAAGTTGACAGGCCTACCTTCTTTTTAATACGATATGGACCCTCAAAAAGAAGAAGAAACTTCTTGGTTTTTGATGATAGGGCTGAAGAAACGGGGTTCGCTTTAAGCAACACCAGATCTTCAGTAGCAAATTCTTTATAATGTCGACCAGGGTGTAATATCTTCCGACGTTCAGCGCGGCTTTGTAAGATCTCTTTAGCTAAAATAAGTTTCTTTTCATAACTAAGCACCTTAGGACTATCAGGATAATCGACCAGTTCTCGTGTAAAAGAGGTAAGCGGTTCCTTGAAATGTAATTCGGAAGGTGTAAAGCCTGTGGATTCATGCACCACAGAATTAAAAAACTGACCAAATTTCCGTACATGTTTAGCCCAGGCCGTATGTTGCTCAAAGCAATATGTTCTAAAGAGACGACCTAATTCGCGCATGTATCTTTCAACCGGGTTTGACTGAGGGTGTCTTACCGAACAATGAACAACTTTAATTCCAAGAGGTTGTAAAGTGTGTGACCAGGATTTTGACGCAAACTGCGAACCATGATCAGTTAATATCCTTTCAGGCTTACCCATTTTTTTAAAATAATATTAAACGGTTTAAAATAGCTCTGGTAGTGGCCTTTTTTAAAGGGTATAATGTCACATATTTCGTAAATAAGTCGACAATCACACATAAGAATGTAACGCCCCCTGTAGACTGGGGTAACGGTCCGTATAAATCCAGACTAATAATTTCATTTTTTTTCTCGGATATTACAGGAGAAAGAGGAGCTTTTGGTAATAAACTCAATTTTGCCTTTTGGCAAATGTCACACGCTTTTAAGCATTTTTTGATATCACGAAACATACTTGCTTTCCACAGAAATCATTTTTAAAATACTCCCTGTTTTAAAAATTCCAAAATGACCTAAAGAAACATGATAATCATAAATAATTTTATTTTTAATTCTGATGGAATGCACAAACGGTAGGATTCATCGTCTGATTCTCTTACAAAAAGCAATTGATTTTTAAGAACAAATTTATTTATCTTTTTCATCAAGTTGTTGATTCTCTAAACTTTTATAAATTGTCCCAAAATAACTATCGTTTTTTTGCGCGGCAGGTAGTTTTTTTAATAACGTGTTCAGCTTATCAGGAAACTTGATCGACGAGGAAAACACTTTAAAACACTTCTCACCCGGAACCGAATAACGAATACCAGGGTTTCTCGATAGTATGTCGGCTATTTTATTTTCCGAACCCTTAACGAAAGATATTTTAAAATCATACTCTTGCAGAGCTAAAGCCCACCGAGTTACCCGAGGCGTGAGTAACCGACACGTTTGAATATAACATAAAGCTCGGTTATCGGTTAGCACTTCGAAATGACGTCCTAATAAATAAATTCGCCACTTCTTTAACGCAAATACAAAAGCCAAGATTTCTTTTTCGTTGGATGTGTATTTTCTTTCCCGATCAAGTAAAAGTCTACTAGCGTACGCTATTACTCGTCGTTCTCCCTCTATCCTTTGAAACAGTTGAGCGGCTATTGCGTAATCACTAGCATCAGATTGTACGTAATAAGTGGCAGTATTGTCGGGGTGGTATAGTAGTGTAGCATTCTTTAGTAACCGTTTTAACTCATCGAAAGCCCAGTCCTGTCCAGTATTCAAAACCCACTTATTTTTGTTCTTAATAATTTACTTAAAGGTTCTGTTACGCCCGAAAGATTCTCACAAAACCCTCGATCGTAATTACATAGTCCCAAAAATGACTGAATATCTTTTTATTTTTTCGGTTTGTGATAATCCTGAACACATTGAATTGTTCTTTCAGGATCAGGTTCTATATTATTTATTGTGCCCTGATAGCAGCAATAATTTAATTTTCTGGCATAAGTGACACTTTCGAAATTTAACTGTCAACCCAGCTTCGTTCAGACGGGAAAAAACTTGATCCAAATAATTTAAATGGTCTTCAAAATTCTTGGAAGCTATCAAAATGTCATCAAGATACGGTATAACAAAGTCATCAAACTCTGAACCCAATAACTCAGAAATGCATCGCGAAAATGAAGAAACAGCGGTAGAAAGTCCGAAAGGTAACACCGTAAATTGATAGCACCTAGTACCAACCAAAAATCCCGTATACTTTTTATCGCTTGGGCGCAGAGGTATTTGCCAGTATCCAGACGACAAATCAAGACTAGTTTTAAATGGTTTCCCGAACAAAGACTTCATAATATCATCAATAGGTCGTGGTAACTCGTATTCTTTTTCTAATACCCGATTTAAATGTCGCGCATCCAAACAGACGCGAACCGACCCATCTTTCTTAACCTCTGTGACTAACGGACTAATATATTGGGTGGAAGCCCTTTCAATTACCCCCCGATCAAGCATTCGCTTAATTTCATTATCTACAGCTTCACGATGTGCAATTGGTATAGGATATTGTTTAACTTTAAAAGGAGTTTCATTAATCAATTTAATTTTGTGATAGTACAATTCGGTTCGCCCCGGTATATCAAATATATTTTTATATTTCAAGAGAAGATACTTAAACTGATTTTTTGTTCAAATGTTAAAGATTTATTTTCGTTTATAAATTCTGTATTAAAACCATTTCGATCAGTATTTAAAGTATTTAAGGAATATTCTTTTTTAAGGCTATCGTTCTAGTTTTTTTAATATCGCTCGGAGGAATATAAAAATGAATCGTATTAATTGTTGAGACTGTAAAAAACTCTTTATTAGAATTTAATAATGTTATTGTATTATTTTCTAAGTTTATTTTACTTTTCACTGAAAATAAAAATCAATACCTAAAATTATCGGAAAAACTAAATGCCTAATTAATAAAATTCATAACTAAAATAGTTATTAGCTATTTTATAATCAAGAAACAATTGTTTCGCTATTTTACGTTGTTTTGTTTTAAACGCCCCTGTAATACGAATCCCCGTTACCGGAAAACTAGGAATTTTCTCTTGAAAATCTCCCAATTGAGCGTAAACGTCACCGGATATGCAGGATATTTCTGAGCCGCTGTCAGTGGTGCTGGAAGAAAAATTAAAGTGAAACAGTAATAACTGGTGTTTTTATTTTCAATGTTAAGATGGTCAAACTCACAGTCAGAGCCCCATGGCTCTTCTTCCATATTACATTTGGTATTGCGAGCGCCATTTTGCCACTGTCAGTTGTCTCCGGCCCTAAAGACTGTGGCTCGGCTCGTTTCCCGATATTTCCAAA